CCTCGATTTCTGGAGGAGCTCAATGATGGGACTGTGTCTTGATTTTTAAAAGGTTCTGTGAGCTCGCACAATCCAGTGTCTCTCCACAACCGGACAGCCTGAATGTATCAAAACCAGGCCCAGATATTCCTTTAGAAGGCTCCACGTTTCTCAAGAATAGAGATGGGAGGTTATAACTGTGGCCAAGAAGACCCGAAGCTTTGTATGGAGTCACAGGCTAGGTATCTTACACAGCTCATGAAAATATAATGCTGCTCGAATAAGTCAGATTGAGACCATGGCTGCCAAACTCAAGTTGGTTATTAGCAGACTGCCCAAATACAGAAACTTCAAACTCTCTCTACAACTGCCCCATCACACGTGCATACATACAGACAAACAGACATGCACATAGACCCTAAAACTCACAAGACAAATAGATGTGTACAGAGACACTTAGACTTGCAGAGATCCATTGACTTAGAATGAGACCCATGTATGTGCATACAGGCCAATACACACACTGAAATGAATATACTCACCTACACGGAGAACCACAGAAGCACATAGACACATAAACACGCTCTGAGGCACGCTGACACGCTCAGAGACACATTGACACGGAAAAAAAGACACATCCTCCATATAGCCTTAACAGACTGTTGGGGCAAGTGCAGATAACGAAAACCTATGAAGGCCGGCACGTATATGAGGGGGTGGGTGGCGAACACCACGTCCGATCGCCTTTATCTCCCCAGTGGCGATGTTTTTACACGCTGTACCAGGTACAAATTTGAGGCTAAGTCGACCTCAGGGAAGGCCAGGACTGGTTTAGATAATCATTACTGGTGTTAGCCATGAGCGGGAATCGAACTCGGGTCGTCAGGTGTGTAACGCAGCGCGCTAACCGCTACCCCACCGTTCCCCACATAAACACGCACACGGACCCATGGACACACACAGAAGCACATAGACACATAGACACATAAACACGCTCTGAGGCACGCTGACACGCTCAGAGACACATTGACACGGAAAAAAAGACACATCCTCCATATAGCCTTAACAGACTGTTGGGGCAAGTGCAGATAACGAAAACCTATGAAGGCCGGCACGTATATGAGGGGGTGGGTGGCGAACACCACGTCCGATCGCCTTTATCTCCCCAGTGGCGATGTTTTTACACGCTGTACCAGGTACAAATTTGAGGCTAAGTCGACCTCAGGGAGGGCCAGGACTGGTTTAGATAATCATTACTGGTGTTAGCCATGAGCGGGAATCGAACTCGGGTCGTCAGGTGTGTAACGCAGCGCGCTAACCGCTACCCCACCGTTCCCCACATAAACACGCACACGGACCCATGGACACACACAGAAGCACATAGACACATAAACACGCTCTGAGGCACGCTGACACGCTCAGAGACACATTGACACGGAAAAAAAGACACATCCTCCATATAGCCTTAACAGACTGTTGGGGCAAGTGCAGATAACGAAAACCTATGAAGGCCGGCACGTATATGAGGGGGTGGGTGGCGAACACCACGTCCGATCGCCTTTATCTCCCCAGTGGCGATGTTTTTACACGCTGTACCAGGTACAAATTTGAGGCTAAGTCGACCTCAGGGAGGGCCAGGACTGGTTTAGATAATCATTACTGGTGTTAGCCATGAGCGGGAATCGAACTCGGGTCGTCAGGTGTGTAACGCAGCGCGCTAACCGCTACCCCACCGTTCCCCACATAAACACGCACACGGACCCATGGACACACACAGAAGCACATAGACACATAAACACGCTCTGAGGCACGCTGACACGCTCAGAGACACATTGACACGGAAAAAAAGACACATCCTCCATATAGCCTTAACAGACTGTTGGGGCAAGTGCAGATAACGAAAACCTATGAAGGCCGGCACGTATATGAGGGGGTGGGTGGCGAACACCACGTCCGATCGCCTTTATCTCCCCAGTGGCGATGTTTTTACACGCTGTACCAGGTACAAATTTGAGGCTAAGTCGACCTCAGGGAGGGCCAGGACTGGTTTAGATAATCATTACTGGTGTTAGCCATGAGCGGGAATCGAACTCGGGTCGTCAGGTGTGTAACGCAGCGCGCTAACCGCTACCCCACCGTTCCCCACATAAACACGCACACGGACCCATGGACACACACAGAAGCACATAGACACATAGACACATAAACACGCTCTGAGGCACGCTGACACGCTCAGAGCCACATTGACACGGAAAAAAAGACACATCCTCCATATAGCCTTAACAGACTGTTGGGGCAAGTGCAGATAACGAAAACCTATGAAGGCCGGCACGTATATGAGGGGGTGGGTGGCGAACACCACGTCCGATCGCCTTTATCTCCCCAGTGGCCATGTTTTTACACGCTGTACCAGGTACAAATTTGAGGCTAAGTCGACCTCAGGGAGGGCCAGGACTGGTTTAGATAATCATTACTGGTGTTAGCCATGAGCGGGAATCGAACTCGGGTCGTCAGGTGTGTAACGCAGCGCGCTAACCGCTACCCCACCGTTCCCCACATAAACACGCACACGGACTCATGGACACACACAGAAGCACATAGACACATAAACACGCTCTGAGGCACGCTGACACGCTCAGAGACACATTGACACGGAAAAAAAGACACATCCTCCATATAGCCTTAACAGACTGTTGGGGCAAGTGCAGATAACGAAAACCTATGAAGGCCGGCACGTATATGAGGGGGTGGGTGGCGAACACCACGTCCGATCGCCTTTATCTCCCCAGTGGCGATGTTTTTACACGCTGTACCAGGTACAAATTTGAGGCTAAGTCGACCTCAGGGAGGGCCAGGACTGGTTTAGATAATCATTACTGGTGTTAGCCATGAGCGGGAATCGAACTCGGGTCGTCAGGTGTGTAACGCAGCGCGCTAACCGCTACCCCACCGTTCCCCACATAAACACGCACACGGACCCATGGACACACACAGAAGCACATAGACACATAAACACGCTCTGAAGCACGCTGACACGCTCAGAGACACATTGACACGGAAAAAAAGACACATCCTCCATATAGCCTTAACAGACTGTTGGGGCAAGTGCAGATAACGAAAACCTATGAAGGCCGGCACGTATATGAGGGGGTGGGTGGCGAACACCACGTCCTTTATCTCCCCAGTGGCGATGTTTTTACACGCTGTACCAGGTACAAATTTGAGGCTAAGTCGACCTCAGGGAGGGCCAGGACTGGTTTAGATAATTATTACTGGTGTTAGCCATGAGCGGGAATCAAACTCGGGTCGTCGGGTGTGTAACGCAGCGCGCTAACCGCTACCCCACCGTTCCCCACATAAACACGCACACGGACCCATGGACACACACAGAAGCACATAGACACATAGACACATAAACACGCTCTGAGGCACGCTGACATGCTCAGAGACACATTGACACGGAAACAAAAAGACACATCCTCCATATAGCCTTAACAGACTGTTGGGGCAAGTGCAGTTAACGAAAACCTATGAAGGCCGGCACGTATATGAGGGGGTGGGTGGCGAACACCACGTCCGATCGCCTTTATCTCCCCAGTGGCGATGTTTTTACACGCTGTACCAGGTACAAATTTGAGGCTAAGTCGACCTCAGGGAGGGCCAGGACTGGTTTAGATAATCATTACTGGTGTTAGCCATGAGCGGGAATCGAACTCGGGTCGTCGGGTGTGTAACGCAGCGCGCTAACCGCTACCCCACCGTTCCCCACATAAACACGCACACGGACCCATGGACACACACATAGACTGATGATAGAATCCCTTACACAGAGATTTACAGGTGCACATAGACACACACTGAGACCGAGAGATGTGCACAGGGACACATAGAAGCACACATATATACTTAGACACGCAGAGCCACTGAGGTGCACACAAACACAGACTCGCACATAGCCCTTAAGACTCACGACTCACGTCAAGACCGATATACGCACTTACTGTAGCTTTTGTTGACATAAAAGTAGAGCACGGCCCAGAACATCACGGACGCTGCCGTGAACGCCAAGATTGCAGCCATCACTGCGTCGATGCCCGTGGAGGGGTTAGCTTTTGGGGGCAGCTCGCAAGGGCAGCTGTCGCAGGGATTCTCAACGACATCTCCTTCTTCTCCTCCTACAGTGCTGATCCAGTTGTACAACATTCGCCAGAGGAGCTCAAGCAACACCTCGGAATTCCCCATCCTTGCTTGCGAGCTGCTGCGCGTGTCTGGCCGTTGTCCCCGAGTGGCGTCGCAAGAGTGACGTCACGGTCACGTGAACGTGACGTCACCGCAAGTTCCGGTGGGGGCGTTCCCCTAGAGCACGGTCACGTGGGCTACTGCAGCCACGCTGCTTGTTACGTAATAGACCGGCGTTTTGAACCCCACTCTCCACCTCTACTAGGGGAACTCGATTGTTCAGGGTGCTGTGTGGACTTCTCTTTAGCGTGGCCGTTGCCGTTGCTGCTCACGCATGAATACACTGGCAGCGTTGTGTTATTCACGACGTGACAACTTTCATTGGCTATGTCGGGTGGAGGAGGGGTGTACGAAACTAAGAGTGTGCGTCCAGAGACATCCGTGTAGGACAGACAGGGGCCGTCCATAAATGACGTCACGCGATTTTGGACGATTTTTTTGACCCCCCCCTCGTTACACGGCGTCACAAAAAGTCAGACCCCCCCCCTCAAATATGACGTCACAAAGTGCTGCTCCCCCCCCCCCCAAAAAAAATAAGGCATGCTTCAAATCGCTTTAAACTATTGTCATTGTTGTGCGTATTTAATGTGGTGCTGCACTCTGATGTTATAGGAGAAAACATTTACTACAAAGTCCATTTAATTAAGTAGAACGTGTTGTGTCTATATTTATTTAAAGTTGCGCATTTTGATGTGACGTCACATTTCTCAACCACCCCCCCTCCCCCCTCGTCACACATCGTCACAAATGTCTGACCCCCCCCCCCCAGGTGCGTGACGTCATTTATGGACGGCCCCACACTTGTCTGCTCGTCTTTGTTGTTGTTTATATTTTCCTCAGGGACTGTTCTATATTATTATTTAGGGTTTTTTTTGTCGAAATGTAACTCAACGTCTTTAACACAAGCGGCCCGCTTTCTTTGCAAATTAGCTGTAACATTAAATTTCGTTATATACTGTGCACATTTAAACAATAATAATAAAACGTTCATAGCAAGGCGCGCGCTCGGCTCTGAGGTAATAACATTTTAAAATAAAAACCGCCACGCACGTGACCACGGAGACACCGCCCCCACCCCCCCTCCACCGGTTGGGGTGGGGGGAGGGGTCTCGCGCCCACTGCTCCCTGCCCATAAAAGGGCTTGAGACGTCAAGCCCTTTTATGGGCAGGACTCGCGGTTCGTGCCACTGGGTACTGTGCAGGCCATGGGGGTGCGGAGTTCTCTCCGCGTCCGAATCCGGTGCCAACCCTCCACCCCCGAGGTTGGGATGAACGAGACGGTGGAGCTGGCGGGAGTGTAGAAGTATATACCCATCTTCTTGGTTCTTTCGGTAAAGTCACGTTGAGCTTCCTTCGCGCTGTACGTAGCTAACTGAGATCATCCAAGTGCCATTGAATGCGTCTCCACTCACCTGACATTCAGTTTCCCCAAAATGATGTTATTCTTTGACTAAACTACTAAACATTAACAAATTAATAAAAGGAATTATTTTTTTGTTAACACATTAAAGTGTACAAAAAGCTAAATAATAACAATAATTAAGAAAATTCAGAAACCCAAACCCAATTAACCTGCACCAAAAGCATTGCGGTGCTTCTGTGCACGTTGAAGAGTGACATTGGCCAGCAACCTGTGCATCCGTGCGTGAGTGTGTGCCCGAGGACGTGTGCATGCATTTGAGTACGTAGCTGCGTGTGCTCATGTGTAGAATTAACCCATTAACACCTGAGAACAGACCCAGGTGTTATGGGTCTGCCACAGCAAGCCTTGACACTTCACGCGATGGCTTCAAAGTGCACCGAGCCTCGCACAAACGCCGTGGTGACATCCCCGCCACTTAGCGGGCAAACGGCAACCGTTGTTGTTGTGTTTAGAGGGTTACCCATACATGCCAAGTTGATATTCTGGTTGCTGACCATTGGGGAAAGGTGTTTCCTGGTGAGTCTGCGCTCCCGCATGTGGACGTGGCACCGTGCGTTTCCCCCTTAGAAGATTCTCTCGGATTCTGCAAATCGGACGGTCTTGGTCGCTTTCTCGCTCGCGACTCTGCTGTCTCCGTGGTGTCCGGCGTTCTGCGGAAGGGGTCGGGGGAAAGGCCAAAGATCGAGACGTCATCGTGGCCAAAGCCGCAGACGCCACCGCTGCACCTCGCGGCCAACGTTCTCTACGCTTGGCCAGATCTCACAGCTTCTGCGCAGGAGAGGCACTCAGCGACCTCCAAAATATGCCCCTGATGGTCTCCCACCATCTGCCCCTTGGGTCTTCCCCTTAGTCATGGGACTCAACCACAGGGAGAGGTGGGAAGCAAACAAAGCCGAGTTGGTACCAGTGCCAAGGAAGTCACATCTATGAGTCATCAATATCAATAAGAAAATACATCAGAGGGTTATTTATTCATTCAGTCATGGCTCATTTTATAACGCGCACACATTGGACTTGAAAATGACATTCGGAGGTGCAGGAGAGTAAATTAAAGAAAAATTTTTAGACAGAAGGTTGACAACGATGCTGATGTGTGGCGCAGTGAGAGGAAGGATAGGCACTGCTGGTGACAAAGATCCCCCATATAGCCTAAACAGACTGTTGGGGCAAGTGCTGTTTGTGGGAAAATATGAAGGCTGGAATAGCACACGAGGGGGTGGATGGCTAGCACCATACCCGACCTGCTTTGTCTCCCCAGTGGCAATGTTTTACACCTTGAGGCAAAGTCGCCCGTTCAGATAATTGTCGCTGGTGTTGGGCATGAGCGGGAATTGAACTCGGGTCACTGGGCCCGCAGCGCTCCAACCGCTACATCACCACTGCCGATTAACAACATCAATAACAACCTCTATTTCCAACTAAGTGGCGGTGACGTCACCACATCACTTGTGCCAGGCTTTGTGGACTTTCAGGCCACGTGAAGTGTCAAACGCCTGCTGGCAGGAGGTCACAGGACAGACCCAGGTGCGATGGCTTTACTGACTGAGATGGCTGGCAGATGCACCACCTGTGCCCCCTACTTTGCCGATGAACACACAGACACAGTACAGATGCTTACTTGAAACCGGATTCCCACCACCATCCATCCCAGAAGAACTCCCTCATCAAGACTCTATACCATAGAGCCCAATGCATTTCCGACCAGGAACATATTACCAGTGAACTCAAGCACGTACACCAGGCTCTCAGGGCTAATGGTTACTCCGACTACACAATCCGCAAAGCCATCACTCCAGTTATGAAGAAGGATCCTTTTGTGGAGCCACTCAAAACCATCACCTTACCCTACATTGCAGGGGTCACTAAAAAGATCTCCAAAATCCTGAATAAACACAAGATCCAGGTCCGATTCAACACAGGACATAAAATCCGTGATCTAGTTCCATCTGTAAATGATGCTGTTCCAGACATACAGTACCCGAGCGTTTACAAACTAAAGTGCCTCTGTGGTAGTAGCTACATTGGAGAAACCAAACGACATATCTCGGACCGCATCCGCGAACATGAAGCAGACTTGAAACACGGTGGAACGAACTCCTCTGCCGTGGCAGATCACTGTTATGATTCAGTGGGCTCACGTGACATTGACTTCTCCAAGACGGAGGTTATTTGCAAACCAACCGGCTACCATGAGAGATTCGTTCATGAGGCCATTCACATATACAAGCACAGAGACAATTTCAACCGAGAAGATGGATTCTGGCTTAGTAACCATTGGAAAGATGCTTTAAACCATTTCTGTTCTTAATTAATTTTATTTTACGATGACCTTCAGACCACAGCTCTTTCGCTGGAATTGACTCTTAATACCTCTCACACCACGGTAAATGGTATGGTTTACAACATGGAGTATAACAGCGCCTCGCAGCTGTCTCTCTCCCCCTCCTCTGTTCCGACCATGGATGAACTCGTCCGTCTGAACGGGACCCGTAGCTATCCGTGTCGCTAAAGTTGAGGGTAAGAATCCACCCATTTTTTCGCCATATAGCATTGTGATATATAACGACTTATTGTTGGTAGCTTAGCTGATTGGAGAATAGAGTTTATTGATAACATTGAGGTAATTTATATTTTAGTTTTTTATTGGTTCACTATGTAGTATTCATTATATTGTATTGTATACCCAGTTACTGTGAATAGCTCAGATGTATAGGCCTTGACTTCAACATAGCCATTTCTGTGACCAGTCACAAGCTAATCACTCAGTTATTTCAATGCTAAATTCGCCTAGTTATTTCAATGCTAAATTTTCCTGTTTGATTTGTACTAGGTGCCTCGGTGAATGTATATGCTCTGACTTTAACATAGCTATTTCTGTGACCAGTTACAAGATAATCACTCAGCTATTTCAATGCTAAATTCTATGCTAATTCCTTTGTCAAGGGGTGCCTCTGCGGATGTGTATACTTTAACTTATCTATTTCAATGCTAAATTCTATGCTAATTCCTTTGTCAAGGGGTGCCTTTGTGGATGTGTATGCTTTAACTTTAACATATCCATTTCTGTGACCAGTCACAAGCTAATCACTCAGCCATTTCAATGCTAAATTATATGCTAATTCCTTTGTCAAGGTGCTTTGTTTCTTCTCACACAGCTTAAAGGTCGTGATCTGAGCGTGGCTTTTTCACTCCAGCGCTGTCCTCCAGACAGTCTCGTCCCTTCACCTGATGAAGGCCGCTTGTGTTGTGGCCGAAACGTCGTGAGAATATTATTGTGTTATTTTATTTTATCAATTTATTATTTTATTCTCATTCTACGTGACTTTACCGAAAGAACCAAAGAAGAACACACAGACACATATAGACATACACAGAGGAAGGCGCTCCAACAAGAAGACCCCCACCCCCCACATTGAACCATTGTGGGGGAGTAGGGTAGAGTGGGGGTGGGGGGGGCACGCACCAGCACGGAGCAGTTGCTGTACACGCACTCTCCGTACGTGGGCACCAGGCGTAGGTACGGGTACTCCGTCTCCCGCCTGCAAGAAAGAGCGGCGGTCACGGAGAGGAGGACGGTGCTCGTGGGGTTCGGTCCGAGCGGCCGGGGTCGCAGCGCCGTTGGGAATTAAACTAAAAACCAAACTATTTTTATTTCATCAGGTAAGGCCTCAACTGAGCTACATCGCTTGTTTTCACAAGTGACCTGGACACAAAGGATAGCTCAATGAAGTGGCGTATCATGTGGAAATGCACAGCCACCAAATCCTTTAAATGCACGATTATAAATGTGGAGGGACAAACCAGAGGACCCACGGAAAAATCCACACGACCACGGCGAGAGAGAGACACTCAAACACCAACTACACAGCAGGCGTCAGGGTCAGGATCAAACCCACGACCGCCTGCAAACCAGGCGAGGGAGATAACATCTCGACGCAGTGGCACCCATTATATTTAATTGGCACTCGCTGCAGGAGCCACGGGGCCCTTACTTGGCGGCGGTGTTCACCACGGTGGACGACTGCATGGTCGACCTTTGGCTCATGGACATCCTCAACCTCTCCATCTCCTGTGCGCAAAGATCCCCCGTTTAGGTTTAACAGACTGTTGAGGCAAGTGTTGTTAGCGAGCACCTCCTCTGCACACACACACACAAGTTCACACATGTAAGGCAGCATGGTAGCAACGTCGTGGTAACACTTGCGCCTCGTGAGCAAGAAGCACCCGGGTTAATTTCCTGACTCGGACGCCCCTCTGTGTTTGTATGTTCTCCCCCTGTTCTGCATGGATTTCCGAAGGTTTCTCCTTGTTTCCTCCCATAACTAAAATAATCGCACAGTGTAACCGGTATTGGCCAAAATATCTGAATGGTGAAAAATACCTGAAAATTTACTCAATCAGGATCGCAGGGAGCAGTAGCAACATCGCTCCCCTCCAGTGAAAAAAACTTCGCAGGACCCTTCCGGAAAGAGAATCTTGAGACTCCGTAACAATTCACCTCTCCGGCAATTCAACAAGAGTAATTATTAGCATCATTTGGAGCCATGATTTAGTTCAAGAATTACGTTTTCTTTGTCTCTTTAAGTTCTGTTTTGTTTATTTTGACTTGGTCATCCCATTGTCTTAATAGAGCAATGTCCGATAATTAAATCACCTGCAATGCACCGAATCTCATCACATCTCGGACGTCGAGCACAGTTGAGCCTGGAAAGTGCTGGAATGGGCGATCACCATGCATGGCAGGTTATCATAGGCAGCTGCGGGGCTACTTTGTGGTTGGTGGAGGTAGCTTTGTGATATCCGCTTCTATAGGGCATTGATATGGCCTCGCAAGCAGTGCATTCACCACTTGTTGTGGAGCTTCGTAGTTGAATCCAGCGGCCCGCTCTAATTATTATTAGGGCTGGCAGTAATAATTACTAATAATTACCACAGCAATAATTACCAGTAATAATTATTACTGCGGTGTGTATTTCTCATTTTATCTAGGATTTTACGTTGCATATTTGTCAAAGCACTTGACAAGAAACAACAAAATAATACAATATATTATTTTGTTGTTTCCCTTCAACGTGACTTTACCGAAAGAACTAAGTATATGAATTACTGCAGTCACGAAAGCTTTAAATCAAGAATGATACATTTTACATTAATATTGGCTGATGGGGAAAAGGGTTGGAGTTTGAGTGTTGGGGAGGGGAAGGGATGGCAAGGAAAAGTAATGATAGGGAAAGGGAGAGGATGGCGAGGTTAGGAAGGTTAAGGTGGAGGATGGTTAAGGGTTTAAGGATGCGGACAGGACAAAGTAATTGCCGGAATTATACCACGCGCCGCCAGCATCGCTCAAAGTGGACGTTCACGATCCCCCTGCGTCATTCGCATTGTGTGCCACCAGCTTCAGAGTCCACATTTTACCAAATTCAAAAATTTACACCGCAAATGACTCAACTGGGATTGTAGGTAGCGGCAATCGTCGCCTCCCAACTGGCGGACTAACGCCCTGGGTCACTCGCAAATGAGACATCACCCTTGGGTCTCTTGCATTCCCATCGGGTTAAACAAAGTCAACGTTACTTTTTTCTCTTCCAACATAGCGTGGTCACATCCTGCTCCACTACTGCTCCGTGACGCGATGGCCACCCAGTACAATCGGGTGGAAAATAGAAAATAAACGGTGGAGAAGACAACAACGGAGACATCTATGGCACATATCTTTGGCTGTATCAAAGTATGAATAATGGTAATAGGTTTTAACCTTTCTGGCAATTAAATAGGTGTTAAGATGTTCAAATACCAAATAGATGCCTTTTTCAAAAGCAACCACGCAAACATGCTCTGATGATATATGGAGTGTAAATGTATATAATTATCAGAGCATGTTTGTTTGCATGTTCACCATAAGTACGTGTGGTTATAATGCAGACTTCATTCCTTGTAAAAGGTTTCTATTTAGTGTTTGAACATCTTAACACCTCCTGTTTTTTTCCAGAAAGGGTAAACACCTATTCTTATTTTGACAACGGAAATGTAGTGCGAAAGAAAGGGATCGTGTGTCACCTCGCGGAGCGTGGCGATGATCTGTTCCTGCTGGGAGATGGTGCGCTGCAGCTCCGCCAGGCGCTGGTCACTGCCCTGGCTCGAGCTCTGGCTCTGCTGCTGGAAGCTCTCGATCCTCATCTGCACAAGACAAAGATCTACCCCCCTTTTAACAGACTGTCAGAGCAAGTGCTGTTAAGCGAGCATCTCTCAGGTTCTTTATTTCTCCTGGGAGAAATCCGATGAGCTATGAAACTCTTTTTCACAGACGTCCGGGAGATGTCCTTATGAAAGTCGGCACGGCACACGAAGGGGGTGGCTGGGCAACACCACGCCCGGCCGCCTTTGCCTCCCCAGTGGCGATGTTTACAAATCACACCAAGTACTCATTTGAATCTGAGTCGACCTAGGGGAGAACCAGGACAGGTTCAAATGATCGTCACTGGTGGTGGCCGTGAGCGGGAATTGAACTGGGGTTGCCGGGTTCATAGCGCAATGCGCTAACCGCTACACTTCCGCTGTCCACTCAGCAACACAAATACAAAAATCCCCCATTTAGCCTTAACAGATTGTTGGGGAAAGTGCTATTAGCAAGCACCTATGAAAGCCGACACGGCACACGAAGGGGTGGGTGGCTAGCACCATACCCTACCTGCTTTGCCTCCCCAGTGGCAATGTTTTACACCTTGAGGCGAAGTCGCCCGTTCAGATAATTGTCGCTGGTGTTGGCCATGAGCGGGAATTGAACTCGGGTCACTGGGCCCGCAGCGCTCCAACCGCTACATCACCACTGCCGATTAACAACATCAATAACAACCTCTATTTGCAACTAAGTGGCGGTGACGTCACCACATCACTTGTGCCAGGCTTTGTGGACTTTCAGACCACGTGAAGTGCTATGGGTTTACTGACTGAGATGGCTGGCAGATGCTCCACCTGTGCCCCCTACTTTGCCGATGAACACACAGACACATATAGACACACACAGAGGAAGGAGCTCCAACAACAAGACCCCCACCCCCCACATTGAACCATTGTGGGGGAGTAGGGGAGAGTGGGGGTGGGAGGGGCACTCACCTGCACGGAGTAGTTGCTGTACACGCACTCTCCGTACGTGGGCACCAGGCGTAGGTACGGGTACTCCGTCTCCCGCCTGCAAGAAAGAGCGGCGGTCACGGAGAGGAGGACGGTGCTCGTGGGGTTCGGTCCGAGCGGCCGGGGTCGCAGCGCCGTTGAGAATTAAACTAAAAACCAAACTATTTTTATTTCATCAGGAAAGGCCTCAACTGAGCTACATCGCTTGTTTTCACAAGTGACCTGGACACAAAGGATAGCTCAATGAAGTGGCGTATCATGTGGAAATGCACAGCCACCAAATCCTTTAAATGCACGATTCTAAATGTGGAGGGACAAACCAAAGGACCCGCAGAAAAATCCACACGACCACGGCGAGAGAGAGACACTCAAACACCAACTACACAGCAAGCGTCAGGGTCAGGATCAAACCCACGACCGCCTGCAAACCAGGCGAGGGAGATAACATCTCGTCGCTGTGGCACCCATTATATTTAATTGGCACTCGCTGCAGGAGCCACGGGGCCCTTACTTGACGGCGGTGTTCACCACGGTGGACGACTCCATGGTCGACCTTTGGCTCATGGACATCCTCAACCTCTCCAGCTCCTGTGCACAGACAAAGATCCCCCGTTTAGGTTTAACAGACTGTTGAGGCAAGTGTTGTTAGCGAGCACCTCCTCTGCACACACACACACACAAATTCACACATGTAGGGCGGCATGGTAGCAACGTCGTGGTAACACTTGCGCCTCGTGAGCAAGAAGCACCCGGGTTAATTTCCTGACTCGGACGCCCCTCTGTGTTTGTATGTTCTCCCCCTGTTCTGCATGGATTTCCGAAGGTTTCTCCTTGTTTCCTCCCATAACTAAAATAATCGCACAGTGTAACCGGTATTGGCCAAAATATCTGAATGGTGAAAAATACCTGAAAATTTACTCAATTAGGATCGCAGGGAGCAGTAGCGACATCGCTCCCCTCCAGTGAAAAAAACTTCGCAGGACCCTTCCGGAAAGAGAATCTTGAGACTCCGTAACAATTCACCTCTCCGGCAATTCAACAAGAGTAATTATTAGCATCATTTGGAGCCATGATTTAGTTCAAGAATTACGTTTTCTTTGTCTCTTTAAGTTCTGTTTTGTTTATTTTGACTTGGTCATCCCATTGTCTTAATAGAGCAATGTCCGATAATTAAATCACCTGCAATGCACCGAATCTCATCACATCTCGGACGTCGAGCACAGTTGAGCCTGGAAAGTGCTGGAATGGGCGATCACCATGCACGGCAGGTTATCATAGGCAGCTGTGGGGCTACTTTGTGGTTGGTGGAGGTAGCTTTGTGATATCCGCTTCTATAGGGCATTGATATGGCCTCGCAAGCAGTGCATTCACCACTTGTTGTGGAGCTTCGTAGTTGAATCCAGCGGCCCGCTCTAATTATTATTAGGGCTGGCAGTAATAATTACTGATAATTACCACAGCAATAATTACCAGTAATAATTATTACTGCGGTGTGTATTTCTCATTTTATCAAGGATTTTACGTTGCATTTTTGTCAAAGCACTTGACAAGAAACAACAAAATAATACAATATATTATTTTGTTGTTTCCCTTCAACGTGACTTTACCGAAAGAACTAAGAATATGAATTACTGCAGTCACGAAAGCTTTAAATCAAGAATGATACATTTTACATTAATATTGGCTGATGGGGAAAAGGGTTGGAGTTTGAGTGTTGGGGAGGGGAAGGGATGGCAAGGAAAGGTAATGATAGGGAAAGGGAGAGGATGGCGAGGTTAGGAAGGTTAAGGTGGAGGATGGTTAAGGGTTTAAGGATGCAGACAGGACGAAGTAATTGCCGGAATTATACCACGCGCCGCCAGCATCGCTCAAAGTGGACGTTCACGATCCCCCTGCGTCATTCGCATTGTGTGCCACCAGCTTCAGAGTCCACATTTTACCAAATTCAAAAATTTACACCGCAAATGACTCAACTGGGATTGTAGGTAGTGGCAATCGTCGCCTCCCAACTGGCAGACTAACGCCCTGGGTCACTCGCAAATGAGACATCACCCTTGGGTCTCTTGCATTTCCATCGGGTTAAACAAAGTCAACGTTACTTTTTTCTCTTCCAACATAGCGTGGTCACATCCTGCTCCCCTACTGCTCCGTGACGCGATGGCCACCCAGTACAATCGGGTGGAAAATAGAAAATAAACGGTGGAGAAGACAACAATGGAGACATCTATGGCACATATCTTTGCCTGTATCAAAGTATGAATAATGATAATAGGTTTTAACCTTTCTGGCAATTAAATAGGTGTTAAGATGTTCAAATACCAAATAGATGCCTTTTTCAGAAGCAACCACGCAAACATGCTCTGATGATATATGGAGTGTCAATGTATATAATTATCAGAGCATGTTTGTTTGCATGTTCACCATAAGTACGTGTGGTTATAATGCAGACTTCATTCCTTGTAAAAGGTTTCTATATAGTGTTTGAACATCTTAACACCTCCTGTTTTGTTCCAGAAAGGGTAAACACCTATTCTTATTTTGACAACGGAAATGTAGTGCGAAAGAAAGGGATCGTGTGTCACCTCGCGGAGTGTGGCGATGATCTGTTCCTGCTGGGAGATGGTGCGCTGCAGCTCAGCCAGGCGCTGGTCACTGCCCTGGCTCGAACTCTGGCTCTGCTGCTGGAAGCTCTCGATCCTCATCTGCACAAGACAAAGATCCACCCCCCTTTTAACAGACTGTCAGAGCAAGTGCTGTTAAGCGAGCATCTCTCAGATTCTTTATTTCTCCTGGGAGAAATCCGATGAGCTATGAAACTCTTTTTCACAGACGTCCGGGAGATGTCCTTATGAAAGTCGGCATGGCACACGAGGGGGTGGCTGGGCAACACCACGCCCGGCCGCCTTTGCCTCCCCAGTGGCGATGTTTACAAATCACACCAAGTACTCATTTGAATCTGAGTCGACCTAGGGGAGAACCAGGACAGGTTCAAATGATCGTCACTGGTGGTGACCGTGAGCTGGAATTGAACTGGGGTTGCCGGGTTCATAGCGCAATGCGCTAACCGCTACACTTGCGCTGTCCACTCAGCAACACAAATACAAAAATCCCCCGTTTAGCCTTAACAGATTGTTGGGGAAAGTGCTATTAGCAAGCACCTATGAAGGCCGGCATGGCACACGAAGGGGTGGGTGGCCAGCACCATGCCTATCGGCCTTTGTCTCCCTAGTGGCGATGTTTTACGCACCGCACCAGGTACTCATTTGAGGCCGAGTCGATCTAGGGGAGGCACAGGATCGGTTTAGATAATCGTCATTGGTGTTAGCTGTGAGTAGGAATCGACATAGACCTCGGGTCGCTGGGTTTGTAGCGCACACTACCGCTCTCCACCCATCGACACACACGCACGCACACACACGCACACACACACATGCACGCACACAACTTTCGTGACTGCAGGAATCCATACTCTTTGGTTCTTTCGGTTGTGAGAAACAATATATGCCCTCCATCCACAATAACCCTTTATTATTGGACCCTATATTTCCGTGATCCTATGAACAGCTTCCTAAAAAATGTGGATAAAATAAGGTGATATGTGATGTGGCGTGTAATTTAAATAATTCCCAGAGTGGTGAATCCAAAGCACTGACAATGACAGAGAAGCCATCTCTTCTCTCACCAGTTCAAGATTGGGTGCACAGTCGGTACCGTTTTAATCGAGGCCTTCGTGAGAAAGGAGAATCGCGTTTAGCCAATGGCGTCTAGACGTGCGGACGCGCCACTCCTACGCTCGTTGCAAACGACTCCAACTAAGCGGAATGCGACATCGGGACTGTCATTATTTTTTACAGGGATAACCTATTCAATGTAAAAATATTTTGCTGGATTAAGCCTTTACTGTTCGATATCCCATTGTGTTCAAACATATCATGTATCGCGTTTCACGTTCATGTTTGTTAAAGCGGGCAAGTGAGACTTCAAGAGAGCAGGATTAGAGACTCGCTCGCCGTGTGCGACCCCCTGGGTCACCAAAGTGGCCAAAGCGATGTAATGAAAGCGAATCGGGATCGGAGCAAAAAAACGCAAGTTGGCTCGGACAAATGACTCTGAATGCTTTACCCGTTAAAAATAAGTCACGTCATGAGAAGCCAAAGAGCTGAATAGGACTCTGACAGTGTAATGGGCAAGAGGCCGTTGCAGCGACGGAAGTGAACGAAGCGCGGCAAAATCAGTGGCGCAGTTTTTGGCAGCTCAAAAAGTACTGCCCACTTCTGATGTCCACCCGCTGCAGCTAAGATGAGAAGATGGTTTCAAATTAAGCAACCACTGGAAAGATGTTCTAAATCGAACCAAACATTAAACTAATTTTCAATGGTACAGTATATTTTTCAAGTAGTGGTACCCCAAACTTTCGCAGCTCTTAAAAAAGAATTCCCTTTTCACACCACCAATAGGTAAACTCGCCCTCCCCCCCTCGCCAACCGGCATGTTCACCCGCATGTACAATCAAATGCTAATTTTTATGCTAATTCCTTTGTCAAGGCACCTTGTTTCTTCGCACACAGCTTAAAGGTCGCGGTCTGAGCGTGGCTGTGTTTCACTCCAGCGCTGTCCTCGAGACAGTCTGCTCCCTTCACCTGATGAAGGCCGCTTGTGTTGTGGCCGAAACGTCGTGATTTTTGTTGTTTTATTTTTTACCTACGTGACTTTACCGAATAGAACCAAAGAGTATGCTTGCAGTGGTGGAAATATGGCTGTGGGCCCTTTTCAAGTGGTAGCCCTCACGTGACCGTGCACAGAACGCGTGACGTGAAGCTGTTGGCCGTGTGTTAGCCATGGGCCCTGGGTTCCCCCCCACACCACCCCCCGCTGCAGGAGGAATTCCAGTTCATAGAAACGTTTGCGTCGTTTGAGCTGTGCTTTTTCCAGGTCCTTGTCTCCATACCCCTGACCCCGTGACCTCTGCATCACCTTCATGCTGGACACCTCCCTGTCCCTCTCGGCGGCCTGGTCAGCGAGCTGCGACTCGTAGTGGCGTCGCATCTCCTCAATCGACGCCTGGTTCGAAGACTCCCTCTCCGACTTCAGGGACATGAGCTGAAACGATCGTAAACGGAACGCAAGATGAGATTGAGAATCTAAATCAAATCAACGGATCACTCGATTGTCCACGCCGCTACCATCCGTAACGTCGCCACCCGAGACACCGCCAACGTGGTGCGCATCATTCCACTGCTGGATGGGAACGTTGCCACGTCACATTGGGGGTTTATATGACTACACTTCACCACGCCAGTTAGTGTGAGTTCCAGTTAAAGTTTATGTTGTTTAACTAGGTAAGAACTCAAGAGACCAGGGGAAGTCTCATTTGCAAGAGTGGCCTGCCGTGTGACCTGAGGCACTAATACGCCAGCAGGGAGCTATGATTGCTATGTGCAATTCCAATTGAGTGTTTTGCAGGTAATCTTTAAGCATTCAGATGTTTAACCGATTCCGTTTACATTGTACTTTTTTTTTAGCAATGGGATGAAACTGGGGAATCTGGAGGAAACCCATGTACAACATGGGGAGAGAACATACAAACTCTACACAGGAAGGCACCCGAGTCGGGAATCCAACTCAGGGCCTTGCTGTAAAGTGACACAGGTGTTACGTATGTATGTAGAACTTTTTTGGCACCGTACATAGCCAACCGTGCTAATCGGAGGCATGTCGCCACAACCGCCCGGCTAAGAAGCCTCCCTTCATTCGCCTGAAACTGCATCCGTTGCTTTTTTCCCGTTTAAATCTTATTGAACAACATCTTAACATTCTAAAATTGACAATTGTCCTTGTCTCTCCCGATCTGCATGACAGCCGGTCACCGTCTCGGTTTCACGGAGGAGCAAAATGTCAACAACAACGTCTCTCCGTCTGCTCCGTTAAAGGGCATCAGCTGCCATAGTTGTCGCTATACCTGTGCCTGGTGCTGCTCCTGCTGCTGCCTCTGCTGCTGCAGCACCGACTTGGTCTTACGCTGCTGAGACTCGCACTCGCTCCGCGCCGCCTCCAACGCTCGCTTCATTTCCTGCAGGCTCAGCGAATCAGCTGTGCCGGATGCCAGGGACTGCTGCTCACGCACGAGCGCAGAACACAAAGATACGGTTGCCGAACGAATACATAAGGTCGCGTTCGTTACACACAAAGTGCTTGCCACAAATGAACCACAATAACTTGCTGATCTTGTCAAGGAACGTAAACCGTCACGCAAACTCCGGTCATTCTCCAGTCTGCCCGGCACGCCCTGACGCACTTCACAGCCGATTATTAAAACAGGTGCTTGCGAAGAAAGCTTCTCCTCCGCGTTTGTACCTGCAGCTCCAGGTTGTTTTTCTGGAGGTTGCTCGCCAGCTGGGAGTACTGCTCGGCGAGCTGCCCCTTCTTTGGTTCTTTCGGTAAAGTCACGTAGAATGAGAATAAAATAATAAATTGATAAAATAAAATAACACAATAATATTCTCACGACGTTTCGGCCACAACACAAGCGGCCTTCATCAGGTGAAGGGACGAGACTGTCTGTCCTACCAGACAGTCTGAAGCAGGGGTCGGGAACCTATGGCTCGCGAGCCAGATGTGGCTCTTTTGATGATTGCATATGGCTCGCAGATAAAACAAAATATTCTCACTTGTTTTAATCCATCCATCGATTTTTCACTGCGCATGTCCTGTTCAGGGCTGCAGGAGCAATTGTCCATTATTTTAATTGGATGATACTGGCCTACGTTTGCCGTTGCTGGGTAAAACAGGTAAACGCCCCCTTTTGAATCAGTCTGAGACTGCGTCTGCTCGGTCATTAGCTCAAAGCTAACCCTTCGACGAAGAAGATGGCGAAAAGAAAAAAAGACGACGAGTATCGTACATTTCAGGACGAATGGACCGAAGAATTCGCCTTTGTGGAGAGAGCGGGTTCTGCGGTGTGTCTAATTTGCAATGACAAAATTACATTGTTGAAACGGTCGAATGTAAAGCGGCACTTCGACACGCGCCACGCTACCTTTGCATCAAAATACCCTGCGGGAGACAGCAGAAAGAAAGCGTGCCAAGAGCTTCTGAGCAGGGTGCAAGCTAGCCAGCAGCAACTCCGCGTATGGACCCGGCAAGGTGACTATAATTCGGCTAGCTTTGCTGGTTCTTTAGCAATAGTGAGGAACGGAAAACCATTCACAGATGGCGAGTATGCTAAAACGTTCATGCTGGATGTAGCCAATGAACTTTTTGATGATCTTCCGAACAAAGACAAGATAATCAAACGGATACAAGACATGCCTCTGTCGGCAAGAACTGTTCATGATCGTACCATCGTGATGGCAAACAAAGTGGAGGAAACGCAAGTGAAGGACATAAATGCAGCGCCGTTCTTTTCTCTGGCTTTGGATGAGTCAACAGACGTGAGCCATTTGTCGCAGTTCAGCGTGATTGCAAGATATGCTGTTGGTGACACACTGCGCGAAGAAAGTCTTGCTGTTCTGCCATTAAAAGGGTCCACAAGAGGTGAGGATTTATTCAAGTCTTTCATGGAGTTTGCTCAAGAAAAAAGTCTACCTATGGATAAACTTCTCTCAGTGTGTACTGATGGTGCTCCGTGTATGGTGGGGAAAAACAAAGGATTTGTGGCGCTTCTCCGTGAACATGAAAATAGACCCATCCTAAGTTTCCATTGCATTATACACCAGGAGGCACTTTGTGCTCAGATGTGTGACAGGCAGTGTGGCGAAGTGATGTCGCTGGTCATTCGTGTGATCAACTTTATTGTTGCCCGAGCCTTAAATTATCGCCAGTTTAAAACACTGCTGGATGAAGTTGTAAATAACTATCCTGGTCTGCTTTTGCACAGCAATGTGCGTTGGTTGTCAAGAGGGAAGGTGCTTAGCCGTTTTGCGGCTTGCCTGAACGAAATCCGGACTTTCCTTGAAATGAAAGGCGTCGGGCATCCTGAGCTAGCCGACACCGAGTGGCTCCTCAAGTTTTACTATCTCGTAGATCTGACTGAACATCTGAACCAGCTCAACGTGAAAATGCAAGGCATTGGAAATACAGTGTTATCCCTTCAACAAGCTGTATTTGCTTTTGAAAACAAGCTGGAGCTTTTCATCACGGATCTTGAAACAGGTCGTTTACTACATTTTGAAAAACTGAGCCAATTTAAAGATGCATGCACAGCAAGTGAGCCCATTCAAAACCTTGATCTCCACCAGCTAGCTGGCTGCACACCCAGTCTCCTACAGTCCTTCAAAGCACGCTTTGGAGAATTTCGTGAGCACACTCGTCTTTTTAAGTTCATCACCCATCCAAACGAGTGTTCACTGAACACAGCCGACCTGAATTACATCCCTGGTGTCTCCGTCAGAGATTTTGAAGCAGAAGTGGCTGACCTGAAGGCCTCAGACATGTGGGTGAATAAGTTCAAGTCACTGAATGAAGATTTGGAAAGAATCACACGACAGAAAGCGGAGTTGGCGAGCAAGCACATGTGGACAGAAATGAAAAAACTCCAACCCGAAGACCAGCTGATTCTCAAAACTTGGAACGCGCTTCCTGTCACATACCACACACTGCAGCGTGTGAGTATTGCTGTATTGACCATGTTTGGATCTACGTATGCATGTGAGCAGTCATTCTCACATCTTAAAAACATCAAGTCCAACCTACGATCACGTTTAACGGATGAAAGCCTCAACGCTTGCATGAAGCTTAACCTCACCAAGTACCAACCCGACTACAAAGACATCAGCAAATCCATGCAGCACCAGAAGTCGCATTAATGGTGAGTGTTATAACAACATTATTTAAAAGAATAAATTCAGAGGCTTATTATACTGACATTTAGTTGAATTCACTTTTAAAATATATTATATGGCTCTCACTGAAATAAATTTCCAAATTTTTTGCTTTCATGGCTCTCTTAGTCAAAAAGGTTCCCAACCCCTTGGTCTGAAGGGACGAGACTGTCTGTCCTACCAGACAGTCTCGTCCCTTCTCTAATCCCACATTTCCACGACCAATTCTAAAGCTGGCCAGAGTTGTCACGACGCTGCTGCTGTAATCGCGGTCTGGATTAGTAATCCAGAGGCCGCCGGTCCGATCTCCCTACACGGCAGTTGAAACGATGTTGCTAATTTCTTTTAATCCCTCCACCTATGTCCACGCAGTCGTGTAAATGGGTCCGCAACAGTGAGTCGATCGGCAGGTCGTGTTTGGCGGTGCGACATGAGCAGTGGACAGGGCGAACCTATGTCGTGGGTGGGGCCACCTGAGTAGTGGGTGGGGCTACAAGAATAGTGGGTGGGGCCACCTGAGTAGTGGGTGGGGCCATCTGAGTAGTGGGGGGGGTGGTAATACCTGAGTAGTGGGGGGGTGCTAACTGAGTAGTGGGGGGGGGGGTACTACCTGAGTAGTGGCCTATGAACAGCAGCGGAGCCAATGTCAGACAGAACAGGGGTGGGCGTGGCTATGTAAAAGTAGGCGGGATTGATGGAGGGAGGTGTGGCCAGCACCCCCCACACGTGCCGGTTGAGCGGTCCCACAGACATTGTGGTGTAACTTTAAACCGGCCCCTTGTGTGGCCTCTTACCCGGACGTCATCCTGCAGACGGGCGAGCTCGTTGGTGAGCGCTCCGAAGGTCCCCAACACCAGCTTCATGGCCCTGTCCATGGATGATTTCACCTGCAACCCAAATCCCCGCGGAGCTTAGTGGATGTGTTAACTCGTCCACGGATTCCTCAGTAACTGAGGGTTCGTGACTCTGTGCCCTTAACACTCAATAAACATGAAGCTTGTGTATAAGGGGGCGTCCATAAATGACGTCACGCGATTATGGACGATTTCTGACCCCCCCCTTCGTCACACGACGTCACAAAAAGTCAGACCCCCCCCTCAAATATGACGTCACAAAGCTCTGCCCCCCCCAAAATAAAACATGCTTCAAGTCGCTTTAAACTATTGTCATTATAGTGCGTATTTAATGTGGCGCTGCACTCTGATGTTGTAGGAGAAAACATTTACTAAAAAGTCTATTTAATTAAGTAGAACGTGTTGTATATATTTATTTAAAGTTGCGCATTTTGATGTGACGTCACATTTCTCAAACCGCCCCCCCCTCGTCACAAATGTCTGACCCCCCTTCTAGGTGCGTGACGTCATTTATGGACGGCCCCTAAGCAGCTATAACTTCCAAGGATACATGCATGCGCATGCACACGTGCACGCGCAAGGTAAATGTAAATATCGTTTTAGCTTTGCAGACTGTCAGGCAAAGTGCTGATAGCGAGCACCTAATAAAACCGGCGTGGCACACGGAGAGGGCGGAGAGGGTGGTGTGGCCTCTTTTGAGGCCGAGTTGACCTAGAGGAGGGGCCCAAGGCCGTTAGCAATGGCCAGGAATCAAAGCCAGTTGGGCGGGTTCTTAGCGCCGTGCGCTAACCACTGTACGGACAGGACAGAGGAAACGAGAAGCAATGCCAAGGAGGGCAATGAAAACGAGACAACACGAATCGATTGTTGATTTGAATCGCAATCCCCGAATCGTGACATTTCATTCAAACGACAGAGGGGCGGTCGGCGTAGCGTGGTTGGCATGGGCCCTGATGTAAGGGTCTAAATGGGGTAACCCCGCTATTCCATTTTCCCCGACCCATCCGACTTTTAGCCCAAACACCTGAGCCCCTCCGCTGCCTGGGCCCGGTGCAGTTGCACCGCCTGCACACTACTCGATAGCTGCTCCACTTGGGGCGGTGACGCGTTTTGGTGCTGTGCGTGCGAGCGAGTGGACGCGCGGGGCGCTCCTCACCTCCAGCAGTCCCCGCAGGTGCAAGCGCACCGTGTCGGACGTGCCTCCTGGGATCTTCAGGTCGATGTTGTCGACGTCGTTTTGCAGGCGGGGCAACGCGGACACATCAACTCCCGCTCTAGACGCGGTCATTCCCGATTCCACGACGCGATAATCTCTGTATCTCAAATCACGTGACTTATGTATGGTCACCCCCACTCTGAATCCCATACCTGTTAACCGCCTAATCAGTACCTACCTTATTACAGACCAATTCAAAACTTATTGGTCACCCCGTGCCCTTATAAATCTCAACGTTCATCCTACAAAGTCCCATCACAAGGGAGAAACACAAACAAATAGACAAAAAAATGTTTGTCCATATTGAAACGGCCGTACAAGAATACGGGTAAACCGTAAGGGGTTGACAGCTATGGAATCCCTCCCCACTCTCTGCTCTCCAACGCAGCTCGCTTCTGCTCGCTCCTTCTCTATCTTGATGCGGTGGAGATTTCCGGGGATATAACTAACAGGGCAAGTATATTCTTGGTTCTTTCGGTAAAGTCACGTAGAAGGGAAGAACGTTATCGAAAGAACCAAGAATATGAATCCCTGCAGTCACTAAAGCTTTAAATATAAATTTAACAGGGCAAGCTCGCACGGTGTGTCAATGAGCGCACATT